GGTGAGTAATTAATGGCATTTATTAAAAGTCAAAGCATGTTAGATTTTTATATGGGGATGATCACTAGCATCTAAAGTTTTTACTTTTCATACGTACATTTTTATTTTATAGAAATTGATTTATTTTTCGAGATGGTTCTTTTTGGGGAATTATATATATAATTTGTTTGAATTTTGTGGTTCGAGAAGGTTTTCGTAGGAATGCAATCGACGTACATACTATCGATGTGGCTAATGGAGGGTCGACCGAGGGCGACGATCTCAGCTTTGTTCATTTTCACATGTATGGGAATACTAGGATATGTCACACAGCTACCATTGCCCGAGGTTAAGTTCGTCGCATAAGATCTTTATATTCAAATTCAATATTTTAAAATATGAAATTGTTGTGTTTGAAGACAGAAAGGAATAAAAATATAACGCACAAGTCTAGGGTAATTAGTAAATTGTATAAGGCTCGAGATATGAGGATTATGAATCTCAATGAGAAATAGGCTGAATTAGCAAATTGGCAACCAAAATGCACAAATAAGACACGTTATATCTATTTCAAGTGCAAATTTCATTTCAATCGTAGTAATAATGGTTATGAAATTCGACGAGAGAACTGTATTCTATGATCTATATGGATGCTGGTTTAAAGTAAATTTCCATAAATTTGTTTTAGAATAATTGTCTACATGAAGTTTTTCTTTTTAACAAGCAAAAATTGACTTTCTAGTTTCTACAGTATAAAAAACAACAACATTAACAACAACAATAACAACAACAACAACAACAACAACAATAAAGTGAATTTTTTTGTACGACATGCCCCGGTTTGTTTCTTTACTGGGGTTGGCAGTTGTTAACACCTAACAGATTTCTTGGAAAATTGAAATTGTCCTGAAATATCCAACATCTTTAGGACAAATGGGTTGTTAATAAATAGCAAAATTCCAGTACGTAATGCTAATAGAATATTTTTATAGACACTGTTGCACCTTCCCATACATAGATAATTAATGCTAATTATATTGTAGTCTTATCTGCAGATGCGTCACATTAAATTGGTTTTACAAGTGATAAGATTGTTGAGTACACGGGGTCATTACACGAATGACCTGGCTATTGGCATTGGTGCTGGAATACTATTTGATTCTCTGGCCAGAAAGTATGAAGATAGCAAGAAAAGAGAAGCGCCATTATTCACTAGTGCTACCACCTATGGTTCTTTCTATGACTCTCAGAAAGAACGAAATGGTGAGTTGTTAGGTTAGGAAGGAGCCAGAAATTTGGTCTTTGTCTAGTGTTACTTGGAAAATTTAAAAGTTAAAGGTCAATTTCTTCTATCCGTGATTAAAGTTGATATCCTAGTTTGGATTACTTGACTTTTTCTTCCTACCGAACTTTTGAAACGATTCTGCTTTGATTTACAGTTTGGATTATGATTTTGCATAAATTGTCAGTTTGGACATGAGGGCTTACGTTTGACATTCCTTAGGAAAAATGTTTGAGAAATTAAATAAGAACTATATTGTTCCGTACAGTTAAGATTAATGGGTTGCCATTTTGGTAGACTTGAATATTAATAAATTTGTCATGTCTCGTATAAATTGAATGTTTCTCATGTTTAAATTCATTGAAATCCGATAAATCCATTCAGAGTGGGATGTTATATTTGAATTTTTCACGACGTTAATAATTACATCTACATATATATGTGTAAACTTTATAAACTTTATATAATGTAAATCATGTCAATAAAATCTTTCTTTCAATAATGTAATGGTGATTAACTTAGCATTCACGTACAAACGTGAAGTCCGGAAGAAATGGAAGAATTTGTTAGGAATCTTATAAGATTTGTTCCTTTTTTTTTTTTAAATGAGGGTTAAAAATTCATTTGAATTCGTACACTAGTAAAAAGAAATCAAACTGTATTTTCGTCTTTTCTAACTTTTTAACAATGGAATTTATAATATTGAGATTTGATTTTTGAGCTCCACTCACCTTGTAACAAAGATAGAGCAAAGTTTTAGTAGTATTTCAATTAACTGACGTTGATAAGGGACAAAATAAATGAAAAATATATATAAAGTTTTTTTTTTTCCTTTTCTTTTTTACTATCACAAGATTCTCTTAGTCCTTGTTTGATGGCCATTATTGTGTTAAAAATAATGTTTTAAATAGTAATTTTTTGGATAATGTGGGATTAAAAAGAAAATAAATGTTGTGCATAATATTTTATTATGTGAATGTATGGTTGAAAATGAGTATGAAAAATAAATTATTTTGTTTTAAAAGTAGCCAAACAAGGGCCACATTTTTTTTTCTTAGATGTTCTTATAATTTCTTTTGCCACGAGGAGCATCTCTTATACTGCTATATGGTCAACAAAATGTTTGTACTCTTGTCTCGGAGGAGACACCTGTTTACCTTTAGGCCTTGTTTGTTACAACAAATTTTCCATGAAAGTAGAAAATTAAATTCCATTTTTCATCTTTTTGCATGTTTGATTGGCAAAATTTTCATGGCAATTGGTTTTTTTTGCACACCCCATTTTCCACCTTTTTCCGTCTTTTTGAGGAAAATGTTTTCCCATTGGTGGTTTTGGTTTTCCAGCTTTTTTTTTTTTTTTGACAATTTAAACAAATTTTATCCCCTTAATTGACAATTTTCATGGAAAACAAAACCGAAAGAACACCAAAATTTCAATATTTTCTAATTCGAAAATTATATCAATTAAACACATTTAATTGACAATTCACAATAAAACAAGTTTTAGGTAATTCAATTCCTTTAAATTCGTCATTCCATCCAAATTCTATTCTTGCAATTAAACGGACACTTAGTGCTTTATGTTACTTTTGGCTCATTAATAATTCAATCATCTTAGGTTCAATCATAAGCAAGTGTCTTGGTTTGATTGTGAGGCTTTGATCTAAAAATTCGATTTTGCCTATGTGAAATTTTAAGGAGGTTTGATAAATAGAGCTTGGCCTACGCTATACAATTATGATGAAGCTTATTCTCAACTTGTAGTGCCATCATTTTGATCATGCACATGCCACCTTTTCTTGTGCCCTCATGGGAACATTATACGCCATAGAATTGTACGAAGTAAAAAATATTAAACCCCATTGGTAGGAATTAAAATCTAAATTTTTATGAAAGTTAAAGTCAACAACTGATTTTGGAAAGATTTCACTAATATGAAAATAGACCAAAAACTTGTCAATTTTTCAAAATTTTGCAAAAAATGTCATTTTTTTTGTGCAAAAAGTCCAATTTACCCTTGTAATTACCTTTTTGTATGCATTTAATGCACAATTAATGCTAAAATTTGATGGTAGTCTTGTTGAAAAAGCTATCCGTGAATCTAGTAATTACACAATGGCTAATAGATTTATTAACCAAAAAAAAAAAATCAAAAATATTATTTCATAGCATTTTCTTGATATGATGAAGTGAAAATTGCACTAAAAAAATATGTGTATTACTTCTTAACCACTGAAATATCAAAGTTGATATTATAGTAGATTCATCTTTCAATTTGATGTTAGCATTTACATTATTGAATGTTTTTATCTTATAACTTAGTAGTTTTGAATCTTAAATCCTACATCACAATACATTATAAATTATTCATCATTTATTAATTTTGATTAGTTTTGTGAACTTTTTTTTTGAGAAAACATAACTAGTTTAAAGCACAGAAAAGTTTGAATATTCCATGATATGGTCAATGTTCATAGGTCCTAACCTTTTCAATCCCAAGGATTGGAAAGGACCTTTTTCATGATTCTATTCCATTGCCACCATGTTCGAGATACAACGTGGTCCTCGGGTACAGCATATGCTCGAGCATTGGATATTGCATGATTACAATATTTTATGGCCACCATCCTTGGGATATGTCCTTGGGTTATGTGAACTACGCAAAGACGTGATGTCCTCGAGCCTTTCGTTCAATCAAACCTGATACCATTTCACTTAACCTAAAAGATTCCTAAGTCCCTGGGATCCTAACACTATCTAAATACCTCAACCCAAGTCTCACATGCTTAGCAGGACTCCATCTTAAATATGTTACCATCAAGTTATGATTGGCCTGCAATTATAGTACAAGTCCAACACCCCTCTCAAGTAAGACTCTTTGAGATGATAATATTTAACTAATTTAGTGCTACTAGGAGTATACTACTTACCTCTATAAATATAGACCTTCAATTCATTATTCAGGTATGCTTTTGCATAATTATCGGTCATAATCTCAATCACAATTCTCTCTCTAATTGAAGCATCAGAGGGACAACGAGGACACACCTCGACGCCTTTGTTTCAAGTACCAAGAGATCTTGTTCGTGTAGGTATGATTTTTGGAAGCATCCTTGGTGCCCACTGTGGGAAACGCTACCAAAAGCTATGGTTAACACACATTGAAAAATCATCTGAAATATCAGATCCCTAGCCAACAGTTATTACCGCGAGAGCCTTTGAAGAGCTTTGTTAATAGGTTATCATGCTAACTCAACTGCTAAGTCAAAGAAATTCACATCCATCACCCACACCAGTGCACCAAGAATGTTTTATGGCCAATGCTCCAGCTCGAGCTCCATGCCTTGTTCCCAATGTCAATGGAGCTAGAACTTCAGATGTACCCCATGTGGCCTCGCCCTCGAGATCAGTAACTATGGAGTCTAATAAACTTGCCAAGATCATTAAGAAAGAATTATGGATGGCCTACTTAAGAATACTCAGGGATGAACAGGTTTAACTCCATTCATTTTCGAGACATTGTTATACCTATTACCGAATAGATTCAAGTATCCTCGTATAGAAGAGTATGTTAGGACAATTGAACCAATCAACCATCTCAATGTGTATATTGACGTCATGAATTTGCAAGTTATATCGGACGAGATGATGTGTAAGACTTTTCCTCAAGCTTTGACTAATGCTGCCAAGGATTGGTTCTCGACCTTAGAGCCCAATTCCATAGTCTCATTCTTAGATTTAACCAATAATTTCTTTGCCTTCTTTACAAATAGTAAACGCATCAGGAAAATGATAGCTTGCCTCATGCAGCTTCGCTAAGGACAAAATATAACCATACATGATTTTATGATGAGATTTAAATAAAGAAACGCTCCAAATACCTAACCTACTTATTACAGCAGTTGTTTTTGCCCTCACATATGTCATAAGGCGTGAGACATTCAAAATGTCCTTCTCAAAGAAACTACCAAAGTAAGTGATCGAGATCCTAACCTGAGGTGAAAAATATATTAATATGGAGAAAATATTTAATTCGAGGAAAATTGGCCAGACATATGAAAGGGCCAAGTATAAAAGGCAACATATTCGAGTCTCCGATAAAAATTCAATCTAACCTTTGGGGATTTGGTGGTAGTGTAATCATCCTGGAGGGGCCGTCAAGCTTTCTCTAACCTCGGGTTCTGATCAAAAACAGGTGATAGAGATCACATCTTTCCAGGTAGTTCATGCTTCGATGACCTACAATGCCATCTTGAAAAACCACTGCTCAATAAGATTAAGGCTATTGTATCAATATTCCACCTCAATAAGATTAAGGCTATTGAGAGAATGGAAAATATTAGTGTTGAACTCCATTAGTGACAGATATAGAGACATCAAGGTTGCTTTAGAATATGAGAGGGCTGAACTTGCTACCGATGTTATTATAAATGCCTAAGGAATAAGGAGAATCACAATGGTGATACTTTATTGATGAGAAGAAAGGGTTTTGATAAACCTAATTATTACTCTAAGACCTTTAATGAAAATAAAAACAAATGGAGTGATAAAAGTAAATCCAAAAACAAGGCTAACGGTAAGAAATGTTTCAACTGTGGGAAACAGGGTAATTTTATTAAAGATGGTTATGAAAAGAAATATGAATCAAAAGAAATGAAAGTTGATGATGGGAATGCTACCTTAGTCTGCCATAAAGACAAGGCTGAAGATGGGTTAGTCCTTGTTAATGTTGAAACGAAGCTAAGTGATGATTGCATCGTTGACTCAGGATATTCTTTCTACATGTGCCCAAATAAGAATAGTTTTCTCGAATTTGAAAAGACAACTAGTGAGCAAGTTATAATGGGTAATAATATGACCTGCAAATTGAGTGGAATAGGAACCATAAAAGTGTTATATGAAAATGGTAGAATCCTATTTTTAAAAGGAACTAAGTTTGTTTTTGACTTAGAAAGGAATTTTGTGGGGGTCCTGCTTTTGTGTGCACCCTA